AAAAGGTTGAGAACCACTGAATAAGACCTTTATAATCTTCCCATTAATAAAGCAGCAGCAGAAGGCAGCTGTTTTCTCCTCACAACTATGATATTATAAGCAGGTCCTGATATCCCAAACGTTTGATAATGTGCTAATTTAAAGTTGTTCATAGATATGAAAAAGTATCCAGAAATCCATCAAAACCATTTTGGTGTGGAAATGAGAATGGAAATCTTACGAGATAAAGGTTCCTAGTTCTTCCTTGTTTTGTGTTCGATGAAAATACTGAAAGAAGAAATTATCATTATGTATTTTGGAAATTCCATCTTTGTTTCTCGATGTAGCCAAAAGGACAGAGATGTTGATGTTCTAGGCTAAGTACAGACAGTCAAAAACCCCAAGAGTGAATTGATTCAATCTTTCCAGGTTTCTGTAAACTGCCTAGATTGAACCAATTATAAAAGTGAACTAATGTCCACTTTTCGAACCTGACAGGCAACCAAACTCCTGCAGTGGCCCATACCAGAAGCCAGGGGGTGCTAGAGCATGCCTCCCAGCCTGATAGTCACAGCAAAGAGCTAGGAGATAGGCAATTCCCCGAGACATGTCAACTCTTCAGCCTCGAGCCAACTGGCACCAGGGAAGGGGGTGGGTGGAAGCCCCCAATGGGGTGTTTCACCTTTTCTCCCCCGTGCTTGGAGCTGGTCCCCCTAGCCACAACCCCTCTTCCATCTGGGCCAGCTGAAGAGGTGGTGTGAAGGGAACCCCCCACCCTGCACCAAACTCCCAGCTGGGGTCTCCCTGGTGTGAGGGGAAGGGGGAAGCCCCAAGTAGGGCAGTCCTCCCTATCCCTGCCCCCACCACATCCCACTCACCCAGAGCCAGAGCTGGGTCAATCACCCAGACATGTGCCCTCCTTGGCACACTGGGTGGCTGAGGAGGTGGGGGGCATGCCCCCCTTCCCCAGCTCTGGACCTCTAGCTGGGTTGTGCTGGGTGCAGCAGTGGTGACATGTAGGGGGTGCACAGGGGTGCATGTACACCCCCTGACCGGCCACACTCACCGCTTAGGTGATGGGCAGGCAGAAGCGTGGGCAAACAGGAGCACTGGTGCCCCCCCCCACAAGCGCCAGCTGGGGCATGGAGCACCAATTGGCAGGATCGGCCTGGGACCTGGGGTGATCACCCAGCCATGCCCCTTCCTCAGCCAGCAGGCCAATGGGGAGGGAGTGAGGGGGGCATAGGACCATCCCCCCCAGCTCTGGATCTCCAGCCAGGCTGTGCCCAGCATGGGGGGGAGGGTGGCAAGCTTGCAGTGGAGGCCATTTCCCCACCCCCACTCCTCCTCAGCTGGCCTGCCACCTGGGGAGACAGCATAGCCAGGTGATTGCCCCAGCTCCTGGCTTGGGGGGGTGTTAAGCCCCCACAGCTGGCAGCCAAAGCAATCACCCAGAAATGGCCCCTCTTTGGCCAGCAGGCTGGCTGAAGGAGGACTGGGAGGTAAAATGGTCCCCACTGTGGGCTTCCCCCCATGCTGGGCACAGCCTGGCTGGAGGTCCAGAGCCAGGTGCCCTCCCATGCCCCCTTTCCCGCTCCCACTCCATCCTCAGATGGTCTGCCAGCCTAGAAGGGGGCATGGCCAGGTGATTGCCACAGCTCCCAGCTACGGGAAAGCCCGCAGTGGTACCCAATCTGGGAGCTGAGGCAATCACCCAGTCTTATCCCCTCTCTGTCCAGCTGGCCTGTCTAAAGAAGGTGGGGAATGGCCCCCTCCACCTGGCTCTAGGCCTCCAGCCATGGTATGCCTGGTGCAGGATGGGGGGAGTCCAAACTAGTGACTTTACTCCCCCAACCTGAGCTGGGAACTGGAAGCTGAGGTGATCACCTGGCCATCACCTGGCCTCCCCAGCCAGCAGACAGGCTGAGGAGGGAGTTGAGGGGGGGAAATAGCTGCCCTTTCCCTCCCCCTCCCCCTATTCCTGGCCCCCAGTTGGTTTGTGCCCAGCACGCGGGGAATCCCACAGTGGGGGTTTTACTTCCACCCTGGCTGGGAGCCAGACGAATTCCCTTGGCAGAGGAGGTGGCAGGGCTGGGGGAATCTGCTGAGCTCTGGACTGCCTGGGATTTTACAGCTGGGGGTGGGGCTGCCCTGCTCTGCTGGAGCAGAAAGCATAGCCCAAGAATGAACAGCATCCCAGGGTGCTGGAGGACTGAGATTTAAGTTGAATTGGGAGGGGAACCAGGACAGAAGTTCCATAAACCAGTGTGACCTAAATCAGTTAAGTCTGATACTACATTCAACCAGATTTATCTTAAAAGAGGTTTGGCAATTTTGAAAGCAGTTTATGTGCACTGAACTTCTATTCTGTTACAGGTTTAAACAAGTTTCTTAACATCACTTAAATGGCTTATATGCGACTTCTGTCTCTAGGCTTAAAGAGCTAACTAGTTGTTCTGAATGTCATAAAAGCATTGGGTTTAGACTCAATATGCAAAGAATACTCCAAATTATACTGTAACTGACACAGAGCATGAGAAATTACCATAACTCAGTTACAGTAAAATTGCCAATTACTAGGTGACCTGCTGTAAAATACTGAAATTAATGGACTAGCACAACAGCTCCTTTCCTTCTGATCTGTATGCCCTAGACACATGCACTCATTAATGCCTGTAATTAAGAGCAGAATTTGGTTATGAAGAGAAGAGGGAAGAACAGTGAGAGTTCCGGCCTTTCCATTTCTTTGGCCTTAATGCATTTAGTTGTTTTCATTGTGTTTCCACTTTTTATGTTTCTGTGTCTTGAAGAGTCAAATTTCAGATGACCAGGATTTTTTTTTTAAAGTGAGATTAAATACTTGAAACTCAGTCTCTAATTATATGATTTCTCCTGTTCTTACAAATTGTATCACAGCAATAAGAGAGCTTAGCTACAGTTGATATTTTCCTAACAACCCTCCTCCTATGGAGCAATGCAAAACACATTATTTAAAAAAAAACAACACAGGATCTCCACTATAATACAAGGACACACAAACATTTGAATTTACTGGGCAGTTCTGTCTTTTCCATTCTGTTACCCCTGAACAACCAGCAGATTCAAAGTCAGAGAAGGAGTAACAACAGTCGAACCGCAAGTTCTATCAATTTACATCTGCCACATACATACACTTATTTAAAAAAAGACAAACTAATTAGAAATTTGATTTTTATAAACTCTGACACCTAGATACAAAGCATACCATGATATTAGAAATGCAGAATCCATTATAAAATTCTGGCTTATATCAAGTATGTTTTAGGATAAAAGCATGCATCTACATATGCCATTAAGGCAACATGATAAACTCCGGCACAGTTTGTGCCAGAGTTCTACCTCACAGTTCTGAAATGTTGCCAGGTGTTGGCCCTATATATTCAAGGGATTATATTTGCTGTTAGTTAACACATGTAAATTAACTTGAGTCAAGAATAAACCCGCTTTCCTCCTGAAGATGTGCCAATAGTAATGAAGCCTCAGCTGCATCCATCTCCCCTCCAATTCCTTGGTTCCTGAGGAACCCTCTCTGGACAATCCAAAAACGGACAAGCTAGGAACCAGGGTGGAAATAATTTTTCCTCTAACATTGTAGACTGTATATGGAAATGGAATGCAGGCTCAGTTTTTTAGTCATTAGTCCTAAACAATAACCCAAGAGATTAATCCATAATATTATCCCTGAGATTATTTACCCCAAATGACAGAAACTCACATAACTTCAGAGCTGAACCATCCATCAAATCATGCTGTCACTAAAAGGTTTCAAAATAAACCAGTAAAGATTGAGACATTTTTTGGAAAACCAGTTTAGAACTTATCCAGGGGCTGAAGAGCAGTTATGTGACATGCTTTACTAACATACCACAAAAAGCTGCAACAACCTCTCATTTGGGGTACGTAATTCCATTTTTATGGTGGTCTTTTAGAAGGAGCTCTACACAAACTCTTCCCACTTTGCTCATCACAGTTGCCTGCAAGCTCAAAACATGATGCCAAACTATTTTCCATATTTTTTTTCAGGTTATTGGTTACAAGAGTTTATAAGCTTTTGAAATATCACAGTGCTTACCAAATAGGTACTTTCCCTTCAAATGAAATGAAATATATCAGAACTCGATTATATCTGTACTTTCAATCAAACTGGAATCATCCAGATAATTATCCAATTAGATGTAATGTTCATGGATGATAAAGTCTGCACTGCACCTATTACAGAAGATACATGCACAGGGACACATTTTCAAATAGCCTTCTATCAGCATGACATAAGAGAAGGCTGCAGAGAGTGAGTAACTGTTACATGGATCTGGTATAACGTATACACTTGACACAGACTCCAATTAAATGATTTTCACAAGGCAAAAGTTAAGAAAACCCAGCAATTTATAATAAAATAATGTCTGAAACTGTAGACATGCGGATCTGGAGTCAAGCAGGTTTGGGAATATGGAAAAATTCCATAGAACATCAGATAAGCATTTCAGCCCACTACACTTAAGTGACTTCAAGAGAGAAAAATGTATTGTTGTGATGGTAATTTATTTTCCCATTAGCAGGCCAGTGTTGAGTTTACTATAAAACAACAAACACCTGTCTCTATATGTAACATTATCCATTCTGGTTTTTGGCAGGGATAAGGGTTTGGGAATCATATTGTGACATCCAGTAAAAGACTTCAACGACTACAAAAGCTCTTTACTCATCTAAAAGCTACTGTGATCTACCAGCCTAAAGATCATTAGTGGTCCATGAAGACCATGCATTCAGCCATGCAGCCATGCAGCATGCAACAAGGCAGCACATAACACGAGGCAAAAAAAGGCAAAGAAAACCAAGTGATGGCCATGCTAGTATTTGTCAAGGGTCTCCTTACCAAACAGTGAAATCCTATGCCTGACAAGAACTCCAAGTTTGCAGAACAGGCTGAAGACAAAATAAAAATAAAAGAGAAGAGAGGGGAAAGAAAAAAAAAAAGGAGAGGAAAGAAAAATAACAGCTGATATATGAGCAAGAAAAAGCAACATGATGTCACGCAGAAGGAATCTATTCTCTGAGCAGAATGTGGGACAGAGTACTAAAGAAAGAGTTTTAAGGGCATCTCTTTAACAAACATGATTAAATAAGCACATATTATAATTAAACAAAAAACTGAAAGCAAAGCTAATTAATATAAAAGCGCCCTATGTGAAAACCCAGAAGGAAATAATCATTGAAGCATCAAAAAGTAAAATGCAGTCTGTTCAATATATTACTGAAAAGTAAATATATGTATATGTGTATATATATATATTTATATATAAATATATATATAAATATCAGATTAATTGAAGTGCCTGAGGATAAGTGTTTAATTAGACCAATTACGATCTCATTAATAGATTAACACACTTTCTTTTTTTCTTTTTTTTTGTCTTTCATTCCTTAGCACGCATAATGAGAAATAGAAAGTTTAAGAGGTTAAACCAAAAAATGGACAAGACTAATGATTCTAGTTTATATGTTTGCATTCATTTTAGCACCAATGACAGGTCAACAAGTTGAGAGCAATGGATAATGATGTTTTATGTTTACTCACAGAAGGGAAAGCAATAGTGCAAGCTTCCCCATGCTGCCCAACCCTTGTGGATTTAGCCTTGCTCTCTACTCTCTACTGGAGAGACTATTTCACTCTTCTTGGCCCAACTCAGTCCCTGGCTCACTTCTCAGAATGCCATTGATGTATCAATTGAATGCAACTATGGTGTGTGTTTTCCTCTCTCTCTCTCAAGGAAATTACCCTTATTCACTAGGAAATGGCATTAATAGCATCATCTCATTTTACTAAGGCCATCAAAATCACTAGCAACCTAGGACAGATTCCAACCAATGATATAAAAATGAAAGACCCTGCACAATCTATCATATAGCCTCTGACCTATCCAGTTTTCCATGGACAATTTTTAAAAAATGTTATCATCATAAAAAACCTTCATGTTGATTTAAACGGTAAGACATTGAATAGATCTTATTTCATTCCATCCTCTCATACATGAATGCAACTCTCATTAACTTCAGTGGATGCTGTGCTCACATAGAAGAGGGTGGAATCCAACTCATGAAGTATCTGTAGGTTAAGTAGTCTCTCTAGGTATTAGCCCAAATGCCAGTACTTGGACTCATCGAAAGAACCAACCCTACTCCATTTAATTACTAGGAGGGACTTCATGCTACATTGGCAGGTCTTAACAGACTTAACATTACATTAAAGCCCATTTTGTCAGAGGTTGATGTTAATTAGGTTATATCCTATGGTCCTCTGGAAAAACAGTTGGTTGTAAAGGAAACATCTTGACCCACACGCTCACAATTAACACATCATTTGTATTTGTTGAAGGCTACATGTTTTTACTGAGTATACAATGGCTGCTTTAGGTGCCAAAACAAGAACTGCGTTACAGCTAGAAAATGGATTATCAGTTCAATAGTCTTTGGTTACATGAATGAAAACAACTACTGTTAAAAAGAAATGGTAGAAACTTCATTCAATAGCTTAGTTTTTCCCTCCAGAAAAATCTACAAAAGATCAGGCCCCAGAGGAAAAAACAAAATTGAAAAATCTTGTATTTCGTCTTTTTTTCCCATGTTGCATTAAATGTTCCCTTCCTGATTTACCCCTAGCTCTGGAAAGTCCATTGAAATCTTTGGTGACTTGGTTAGATGGTTCATAACAACATTTCAGGGAGATGGAATTCCTATAGCACTTGAGTCTTTAGGATCACATTTTAATTTTGCAAGTCAGGAACTTGTTGGTGTTTTTTTTAATTCTTTGAAGTTTCCCAAACTAAACACTTGGAGACAGGATGTCAGATTCAATTAATCCGATTATTAATCAGATCATTAATCTGCTCTAGTATGATATGTATTTTGCCTTCACATTTAATATGGGGTTTTAGTCCCTGCTCATATAAACATGTAAATGCAACGTATCTGTGTAAGCCAGCTTGACTGTGTGTTGCAGGCCCACTTCTATATCCAATTCAATATTAGCCTGTTGAAGTCAAATCCAGAGAGTACTGGCTGTCTAACATGTAGCAGTTCAAACTTATCACTGCAGGGACTTGGTTCAAACTCTTATGATAGCCAAGATGCCAATCATTATGTTAGCATGATGCAAGCAGGTGCTGTCTAATTCCTATTCAATCTTTTAACTGAGTGGCCTTTTAATTAAATATTACTAGACAAAACCAGTAATGCTAATTTCAGCAGGAGTCTGAGTCAGAGATAGAAGGAAGAAAGATATCTAGAAGACAGTCATTCATGGGGAAAAGGTCAGGGTTGATATTTATTTTTTATTGCTATTATTTCCAGCACTAAGAAAGCAACACCCCAGAAACATGGCAAAAAATAAATAAAAAAGTTGGGCTGGAAAAGTTCAAGTCAAAATTATAAAAAAAAAACATTTAAAATCTTTATTTTTCCTATGGCAAAAATTATATGGTCTCAAACTGTAACAACAGTGCTACTTCTGCAATAAATCTGCATTCTGAAAACTATATTTTTCTGACAGCATAAATTTTCTGTCTTCATCTCACAAAATGACTCATTGTCAATATGGGAGAAAACTGCTATCTGTATTTTTTTTCTTTTACCTTGTCACCATTTCTTTCTCCTTGTTAGAGGCATGGCCACCACTGCTAAGAGGCCTGCTTGCTGCAGATAGGAAATATAGGCGATGGTTTTTGAAATACTGATCGATTAAAGGGAGTACAACCTAAAATACAGTGGAGAAAGACAGACATGGTCATCTCAGAGCTTCAAGGCAGCAGTTTATTATATGTAACTCAATGTATAATGCCTTGTATTCAAAAGTTTGTCTAATGATTCCTGCCATGCACTTGGTCCAATAAAAGATATCAACCCAAATAAATCCTTTCCTCTCACATAATTCCTGGACTTGGCTACAAAATCACTCTAACACAACCATAGTTTATGATACTCATAATATGCAATGTAAATACAATGTAATATGTTTTCCATTCTTAAATTCCTGTTGGGTCTCTCTCTGAATGCTATTTCTTTTTAAATCCCTTATAGCTCCTTAAAAAAAAATACTTAAAATGTCTTTCAAAAACAGGGCACTAAAATGAGTTTCTGCTTTACCCCAGAAATTTTGTTCCTGAAATTTTCTGGGGGGAATGCAAAGGAGAAAAGTGTTAACATCATTTAAAGATATTTTGCAATTTTACGTTATACCCCAAAGGTTATTTATATTAATTAAATATACACAAGCATTGCCTTTAATATGGCTGCAACATGAAATAAAAGAATCTGCCCCCACCAGTTAGTAACAAAATTCAGCATCCAAGTAATCAAATTCTTCTCCCAGGAAGCATCCTCTCTTGTCAGGCCCCTTATTTACCCAAAAGCAGCTTGAACCATCTACCTGAAATTTAAACACTTCCAGCCCAGTAGGGATTATTGTTTAGTTCCTATTGCTGATCCATTAGCCAAGTGGGAATTCTAAATCAAAAAGCCAAGAAGAAAATTCCTCATCTCTAATCTGGGGCATAAGATAAAAGGAAAAAAGCAATATGAGCTCCCCAGGGGCTGATATTGCAAATGGGGCTGTATTGTGTGGTAGTACTTTATAGCATGAATACTACAATGTATTGCCAAGGAATCAGGGTCAGTTAATACAGCAACACCTGTCTGCTTATTCACTAATGAACTGAAAAAGCACCTTGAATATGCATGCACCAGGTGAGTTTACAAGTACCAAGGTATAAGCAGATTTTCCTAACGTATAAAGATAACTCCTTTCTGGCACAACCAGATACACCAAGATGGTTTTAAAACAAGGAAAGAAAGAGATAAGGCGACATTGAGACAGATCTAGCTGTATTTTTTCATGTAAGTAGAGCTTATATTAACTGCATGATGACTATAAAAAGATAGAAATTTACCCTGGCTCACTACTGGTCAAAGCTAGTAAAGGGAAAACATAGGAAAGATTACGAACAGCCAGAAGGATAAGTTGTACACCATGAAGGAAAAATATAAAGAGACCTGAAAATTATTTGTAGGCACATTTTATGCTATAGCTTTTTCAATCGGTGTAACTTTTCAATGATCAATACTGCAACAACAATAACATTCAGTACATGAACAAGTGCAAACATAACAAAAACAAACATGCTTCTTAACAAGCACTTTCTTCACTGAAAAGGGACAACAATGAAATACTGTACTTTGGCAAAGAATTTGATTTCTTGCTCATAAGGGAAGTGTTCTCCTTTGCCTCTGCTGCCACCATCTGTGGGTAAGAAGAATTTAAGATGCACAATGAATATTGAAAATGATAGTATTTAGTTTTCTCTCATAAAAATGTATACTTTAGAACAAATAAGTTTGGTGTTCTTTAGAGTTGGATTTTAATATATTACAGATATAATGCATTAATTACATATGTCTTTTCTAAGTGATTTATGCAGTACAAGCTACAGTAAAACCAAAAAGAATTGGCTGAATATTGAGGTGGTATATATCAAGAGAATTTTCCAATGGAGCTATATAAATTTATATTAGCTGATTCTTTGGCTCTAAAATTTTATCTTTGCAATTGCTAGTAATTTCTTACAAAGACACTGTTATACATAATAACCTTTCCCTTAAAGACTTCTTGAGTTAAAAAATAATTCCACCCAGTATTTGGAGAAACTTTTTGCTGTAGCCAAGGCTTTCCTTATCCAAACATGCCCATTTTAGGAACAAATCAAGGACTTCTATTTTGAAAAGTTTAAACCTAAGAAAAAAGTAGTTACAAAGCCATTTACACTATGCTTCAGTCAGGAAGCATGCAGCCATCTAACTAGATTACTGTTGCCTCCTGCTGTGGCTCACTTGTTCAGGAGCAACCCACAGCATGAGGCACAGTAGCAGAGCGTAAGTAGGGGATAAATTATAAGAAATACATGAAGAAATAAATAAGAGAAAATATTTTTCCTCTTCCCCATAACATAACTTAATTCTACAAAAAAGAATTAAATTCTGATTAGGGAACCTAATACCTCAGCAGAGTAGAATAATTACATAAATGAAGAAACAAGTTTTTGATTGAACTAGATTTTCCCTGTAGTTTACAGAACTGAATTTAGATCCCATTCTATATCATTTTGCTGTTGAATGACTTTAATAAAAGAGTCCAGTGGAAAATAAACTCACTGCAGTTGCCATATTACAGTAAAAGTCAGATACCATTTTGATAAACAAATATGCTGCAGTCTTCAAAATCCCAAGAGCAATTAGTACTGTACATTAGGGGTGTGCGAAGTGGGCCTTATTTGATTCAGACTCGGATTCAGCCTGAATCAGGGACAGTGATTTGATTCATTGATTCGGATCACTGTCCTTGATTCGATTTGGCTGAATCCAAATCTGAAGATTCAGTGCTGATTGGGAGAATCAGTGATTCAGACATAGACACAGCTTTAAATGTTTTTTCTACATACCTCAAAGTACCAGCAGGGCTTGTGAATGCTGTGATGCTGGGGCAAATGGAGCATCCCACAGGAGTGCAGGGGGGGCCCTCTACATGCATGGCAGCAAACCTGGGTGTGGAGGTGAGAGGGAAGCCCCTCTGCAGGAGATGGAGGGGTATCCCTCCCTTCCTCTCCTCAGCCCCAGTCCCTACTTGGTGGAGGGGTGGGGGGAATGGAGATCACTGGTGCCATGATCTGGGCATGAAAATGGTGGCCCCTACCACAATTGGGTTATGACATTTGCTATCTGGGCCTGCGATTTAAACCAGGCCTAGCTATTACCATAGTGCCTAATTCTCTATTTTTAACATTACCCTGATTTGGTGATTCAGGCATAGACATAGGTTTAAATGTTTTTTCTACGTACCTCAAGGTACCAGTCGGCTCATGAATGCTGCAAGGCTGCGGTGCGTGGAATGTCCCACAGGAACTCAGGTGTCTCCCCTGTGTGCTCAGCAGGAGACCAGAAAGTGGACCAGAAGCACTTCCTGTCCACTTCTGGGTCCACCAGGGAGCTCATGGGCCCCACCTATAACCCTTGGCTCAGCAGCTGGTGCCTCCTGGGTCTGAGGGGGGCACCTGGGGTCCCCCTATGGCCGATTGCCAAGCCAGGGGGGCATGGGGAGGGGGAAGTGCTTGCTTTACTTTGCCAGGAGACTGGTATTCCAGTTCTCAGTCTGGCTCTGCAAAAATGGGTCCTTATAATTATTATTATAAATCTGCAAGATAAAGCTGAAGCTGTGGAAGTTATTACACAAGTAGATGGAAACTTTTTGGGAACTTGGAGTTCTACCTGATATACACCACCAAGTAATGCTCAATCCATATTCATAATGCTAACTTTTACTATAGCCATTCTATTGATGCTTCTCTAAAAAGTATAATACTGACTAAGGTCCTTGAGAAAAAGGGTCCTACTCCAAGGGCCTGGAGCAACAATATGTTTGCACTGGCCTGGACAAACAACATGTTTGCACTTTTACATGGGTGCTTAAAGCAGCAAAAATATATTACACTGGCTTATACAAAAATAATTTACGATAATCTGGTATAGCTACCCCAGGAAAAACCGTGGGGTAAAATTAGACCAGCATAAGTTACAGTAGTGCAGAAGTTATGTATCTGGAGCTCTACTGGATCATTTGCTAAGTGCAAACACATATTACCTAATAACAAGGTACCATCTACTTCATCAGTTACCCCTGGATACCTGGCCATCTACCTGCTCTGGATCTAAGTGTAATTTATATAAGCATAAAAAAAATCAACATAAATATTAATATTAATATAATGTCCAGGCCCTAATACATGACATTTTTGGAAACTGGTTGTTTTTTAAATCTTAATTACAAAGTTCTTCAATTAATAATATTTAATAAAAATTCAGTTAAGGTACTGTACCAAACTCCAGTATGTACTGATGTGCTTCATCCACATATCTTATGAGCTGCTGAAGGAAACTGTAGGCAAAGCGTTTCTCAATGGAAGGGGTGTCTAACTCCAGATCCTTTAATCCTCTAAAATAAAAAATAAGTTATTTCCCATACACATGAAAAGGACTGAAGGCATCCATAATTCATTAAATAGCCCAAAGCTACCTACTCTGATATTCCTCAAGTTTCTGTTAATATGAAACTGATTACATATTTGGAACCCAATTTTCCTTGGTGTCTCACAAATCTATCCTACTTATATTTTGGTCAGTTATTTACCAAAAATGTAGGCCCATCAAATAAAAAGTATGTAGAACATGATCACTTTGTAAATAATACTATTCTTACAACCTTTTATGTTTCTTTCCTTATCAAGTACACATTACTTTTTAACATTGTTCGCTATGCTTTGACCCTTCTAAGCCTAAGCAGTTTTGAAACTACCCAAGTCACTTTTTTGTCTTGGTTGAAAGAATCAATCAAGTAATTTCCCAGGTCCTCAGATCATGGATGCCCCAATGGGCTAGGTTGATGCACACATTTCATGATTTGCACTTTTTAAAAATCTTTTTTATTGAGATATTTGCTGAAATGGCATTACAATTTTTCAGCAGGTCACCTTTTTATGTTGATATCCATTCTGGACATCTATGCTCTATCAGCTAACACTCCCCCCATCTCCCATCCTCCACCCCAATAGACTTTAATTTTTACAGACGCTCATAAATACATACCTTTAGTACAGAGAATAGTTAGCAAAGTAAAGCTCATTTCCTGTTTGCAGAGAAAGGCAGGGTTTGAATGTCTTCATCCTTAGAAAACCATACTTGACCTGAGACTTTCACCAGAACCCAAGTGGATTAAGGAACCACATCCCACTGAATTCCAATGGGATTTTGGTACAAAATGAGTAAGAAATATTCTATAGCATTGCATTTTGCTTGACACTGGTGATGCTTGTTCTCAATTTCAAGATGGCAGATTCCAGAATTAGTACCATTTCCCATCCATTGACCTGCAGGTGATGTCTTAGAGCTTGGAGAAGCATAGCCCATGAAAGCTATTAGCAGAACTTTCCATTATATTATTCAGGGGTTACTGATTTTGGTGAGGTCATAGATTAGAAAGTTTTCCAGTGCATTTTACCTGAGCTTAGAATCACAGAATCATGGAATGACCATGGAAGGATGGAAGGGACTGCCAAAGGTCATCTAGTCCAAACCCCTTCTCAAGACAGGATCAATCCTATCCAAACCCTCCAAGTCCTTGTCTAACCTATTCAGAAAACTAACAATCAGCCCCATCACACAACTAAAAGATACATTTCCTAACAACACCAAAAGCACCCTAACCTACCACAGGTAAAGCTGGGAGAACAAGGGCTGTCAGCTTCCTGCTGCTGCAAGGGTTGTTCATATGCCCTCAAGAGTTATGTTGTATGTCTGAACACTGTTGACTGAGTTCATCCAGTAAACTTAAGAACATCTTACTGGCTTGTCATTTTGTTTCAAGCCACCAGGATTTGTTGACTTACATAGCAGATTCTTATTAAGGAATCTTTTGGGGGTGATAACTCAGATGGAATGGATGCAGGGAAAATGGTAATTACACCTAACTTTATGGAGCTGGTTCTATTTAAAACAACAGCTGGTGTTGCATTGTCTCAGTGTCTTTAGGTTTAGTGAAAGTGTGATCAGGCATCAAAGGGGCAGCTCCAGGCATAGACTGGAATTGACAGACATGCAATTTAAACAAATAGTAATGTCACTCCAAAGGAACATATTCTAAAACTCTCATACCAGAAGTGGCCAGAGTAGAGCTAAGAGAGTACTCATTTGAATGGGTATACCTGGTAAAGCAAACTGAACTTGTTATAGCTATACGGATATGGAGTCAGGCCTTCTTCTTGAACCCTTGGATGGTAGCTACATCACTGGGAAGTGTTTGGTGCCTATTTTGGCAAACTATACTACATATTCCTTCAGACCAGGCACAATAAAAACTGTGAAAATAGAAAGACTTACTTCTCACGAGGACTAACTAGGTAATTGAATGCTGGAAATGTCTTAGGGACTACAATGGATTCCTTGGGACTACTACTGGATTACTCAGACAAGTGTGTGAAATAAACTTGTCTGCCTGTATTTGCAAGACACATTAGAAACAAAGTCAAGGCCAGGATTTGTGGACAGTCCACAGAGCACTGATCTACAGGCAGTTAGCTAAGTCAGCAACTAGGCTGACAGCCAGGTCACAGTTAAGATATAGGATTTGAAGAACACTCCATTGTGTCACTCATGGCTTACATGACTGAGCTTAAGAGGTGAGGTTATCTGTTCTCAGTCATTTAAGATTTGTTGACAGATGATTCACATTCACCTAATGCTGTTGTTATTCACTGGGGGAAAATTAGCCTAAGGCCTGCACCAAGGTAACTGTGAGAGTTAGGATTTGGAGGGATGTGTGATGGACTTAGTAGTCAAGACAAGGCATGAGATCTCTCCTATCAAAAATGCTTGTGAGGCAAGACTTCCAGTGAGACATCAAGTCAAGCCATGGGAAAAAGATCTGGAAACTATGAACCCTGAGGTCAGTGGACTCTCTTCTGGATACCAGGTGCTCAGAAATCACCCAAAGGAGCTTTTGTTACAACATGCTGAGCTCCTTACGGATAATGGATAGGGCTGTGCAAAGCTTTGGATCACTATTCAGATTCAGAGTTGATTCATATCATTTGGAGGCCGAATCTACGAATCCGAATTGAATCACTGGAAGCTTTAGGCTTTCCAAATTGATTTGGAAAAGATTCGGCGATTTGGCCATAGGGTATAATGGGGAATCAATGAAATATCTATAACTTTGTTGTCTTTTTGGTGATTCAGATAAAACTTTCAGAGATGGTAGCCTTTGGTGAGAGCATAACATGTGCCAAGTTTCAAGGTGATAAGTCTAGGGGTTTCTGGGAAACTGCATCTCAACTGTGTCGTGTGTGTGTTAAGCCACAGGGGGTGAAAACTGCAGGGCTGGTAGCACTTGCTGGGGCCACAAAGCCTGCCAAGTTTCAAGCAGATAGGTTCAGGGGTTTCTGGGAAACTGCACCCCAAATTCTTGAAAGCAAAACTCATGTCATGTGAGAGTGTTAAGCCACAGCAGGGTCAAAACTGCAGGTGTGCTAGCCCCTGCAGAGACCATAAAGCCTGCTAAGTTTCAAGGAGATAGGTGCAGCTGTTTGGAGGAAACTGTACCTCAAGCTGCAGACAAGCAAAACTCATGACATGGGTGACTGTGTGTGTTAAGGCGCAGCAGGATGAAAGCTGCTCCTTAACACACATATGGTCAGCCTATTTTTAGTTAACTTTTTCAGGAATCCACTTTGCCATGAGGATGCAGACTTATCTTGGAGAAAATATAGAGCCACACTGCCCAAGGAAAAATTAACTGAGGGAGCCTCACTAAGAAAGGCAGAGCATCCCCTGAAACTCCCCAGTTTCCAGACTAAAATTCTGCCTATGCTTTACTTTAAATTGGAGTTTGGGGAAAAATCGAAATCTGTTTCTATTCATGTAAGGGCTGGGACAGAATCTTGTCCTCAGGGGCTTAACACTTATACTTAGAGCTCATTTTATGTCTTTTCATATAAAAAAAAAAATAAACTAGGGAGTTTTATCATCCACTGTAAAACTAACCCAGTATTGTATTTCAGTTTACCTGGAGACAACGTAGCCATTGATCTGCAGAAATTTCAGAATATCCTGTGCTTTCTCTCTGTCCTTTGCTTTCTCTTTGGCTGTCAGTGTATCATAGGGAACTAGTAGAGGATGGTTGCCTCCTCCTACTAAGGAATGTCAAGAAAATAAATCAAAACTTAGTTATAAAACATCTGGTGAGATGGCACTTACTAGTTTATAATAATGCTGTGATACGTATTTAATAAGGCACTCCAAATGGCAACACAATGATAATTTCTTCTTTACCCTAAAACACTAATAATTTACTTCTGTTTCTTTACGCAAACCATTTTATACAGCTTAGTATAAAGTATATTTATAAATATGACTACAAGCATATTTGCAACAAACTCATGTTCTACAAGCACCTGTATATATCATAATAGGAAAGGTATAATTTTTTCTTTAACCCTATTTTGATAGGGAAAAAGTACTTTTACAATTAATTTATATTTTTCAGAGCATACCTCCCTCATTGCTAAAACTAGTTTTGGTCTAGTTAATTTTTAAACTTCATTTTTTTTCTTCTCTTATCTCTTTAGCCTTTTCAGTGTGAGAATGAAAATACCCACTGTTACAAGTCATAGTTTTTGTACTGTTTCAGGGCCTTATCATGTTATACTTAAGATCTGATTTATGTACAGTGTAGTAAGCATTACTATGAGTTAAAAAGTTTTCTGAGCATTCTTACAGTAATACTTACTATGTTCTAAATAAGATGTGTCATAAGAGCCAAAGCCACTGAAGAACGTGGTGTGCTGTGAGAGCTGGGACTGACAAATGCTTGTTTTTTGGTCCCAGCCCCTGCATAGCACTGGTGTCTCCTTATCATATTACCTCCATGGAGCAAATAGACCTTAGGTCAACACACATTATGTAATATGATCTAGAGATACTCCTCACCAAAAAAGTCCTAACTTTATTATTCTATAATGTCACTTAACACGTGTTTTTACTGCTTGAACACTCAGACACTAGCAATTTAAGAGCAGTTACCTCATCCTAAGTATAACATGTAGCAAGGCCCTCATTTAGCTTAAAGATAATACGAGAACATTATTGGAAGAAATAATAGAAAAAATGCATAAGAACACTAATTAAGAAACTTAAAAGAATATGTCAGTTTCTACTATTTATTTTTCATCCGAAGTCACCATTCTGTCACAGATCATAATTATTTTCTGTGGAGCATATTATAAAGTTCCAAAGAATAGCTGTTTCTGTTAAATAAGCAAACCCCCAGAAACCTGAAGGAAGCAAATTGCCTTTGAAAAATACTACTGACACAGGTAGGCAACCAAAGGAAATCATCCGTAGGCAGACAAAAAAACCTATGCAAGTCATATGACTACATAACAACCCACTGAGTTTTTCATCATTAAGTAGTAGTTTTTCATCATTGCATTTTAGGGCAAAAGTCCACTTTTGCCATTGCAAGCAACCTCTGGTCATGTAAAGTATATACAAATGTGAAAACAGTTGAATAAAACACATACTCGTATTAGACATGAAGAAAAAAAACCAGGAAAATAATTCTTTAATTCTGTATTTCAAACATTTGTGCACAAGTTGCACTTCAATTTCACAAGCAGTCCCGTGTAAATCAACAGGCTATTCATGCAAATCAATAAATATGTGGTTAACTTCTTTTTCTTTGTGTTTTTCTTTTTTTTAATGTTAAAATTATGTATTTTTCATGATTGTGGATTTTGGAAAGAGCCATATTTCTGAGAAGAAAACTCTCTTTCTAACATGAGTGCACTGAATGTATTTGGCCATTAGGTGACAGTAGTAGATCATAATTTGAAAGATCTCTCTGAAATAGGAATTTAAAAGTTATACAAGATAATATAAATCTACTGTACATACATGACCTGTATTTGCTATTTGCATTATTTTGGTCTATTTACTCTTCAGCAGCCAAACCTATGCAAACTTTATATTAAGTAGAACCCTAATTGAGGCCGCTTTTCCATCTGCCAGACCACATACAACTCACTCAAAAACACACACTTCATAAGACATTCTACATGCCTGTAATTCTTTTAATTCAGTGGTCCTCAAATGAGTGGTTTGGTACTAGTCCATGCATTAAATTCCCCATGGGTTGGTCCAAAGGCTAGATCCAGAATAGAACTGGTATGCAGGGTCAGTCAACAGGTGCAATCTGGCTTGCCAACCTGGCCCCACATACTAGATGCAGCTGCACACTGACATAATGCACCAGCCCAGATCCGGCTGCAGAGCAACACCATTTACCCATGTGATCTGCAGCTCTGGAACCTATGGCAATTAAAGCTGCCACTGCTCTCCCACTGACAAATTTCTAAACCCACGGGGAGCAATGTGAGCTGGATGACAGTCCCACATGCTGGATTCAGATCAAAGGTTACAGTGTGAGCCTCAATCGCTGCTCTGATTTGAAGAGTGCACAGAGGTTGGTGTTATTAACATCTATAATATAACATATTGGTCATCACAGCTAATAGTTGAATAAAAATTTGATTTAAAGCTTTATCTTTACTTAAACAAAGAAGAAAATATAAGAAGTAAGAGTCAATAATATTCACCAACTGCATCCAAAGAGACGAAAAAGCACACGCTATGCTTTTTATAAAATAAAGCATCTACTTTGGGCTTACTTTGTCAATCTCATGTGTAAGTAATCTATTTAATTGTTAATACGCTGCTGGTTCACTCAGCAATATAGAGCAATGCAAACAGCATTTCAAATCCCTGTGAACTAGAGTTTCAGTACTTACTGCAAGGAAAAAAAAGTAAAAAAACCAGTATGAGTATTACCCAGCTATCAAGCTATTAAGTTTTAACTGAGTTAGCCTCACCCTTTCCTTCTCACTTCTTTTTTTATTATTCAAGAACAATAATTATGTAAGTTGAAAATTATAAGTGGGACCAATTTATTCCTCTGGACAACTGATATTTTGGTCAATTTTAAACCACAGTTTTATTTTTACCTTGATATTCTTCCGCTTTATCTGTTAAGCTCACAATTAAGACAGACACTCAGACTTCAGAACTTAAGACACTGCACTAAACAAACCTTTTGCTTCCAGTTCCATCTTCTTTTTCTTCGCCCATATGTTATGATAGTTCTCAGCCATCATCTCAGCCATAGCCTTAGGGAAAGAGAGAACTTAATGATTTATGGTCAAACTCAAACAAGATTTTAAGGTTCATATTTCTTATCAGGTTTTTTTCAATGACACAATGTATAGATAACACATTAAATTATATTTAAATGTTTCACTGAAAAGGGTCATTTTATTGAAAGAGTAAACTGAAAAAATGTGGACGCAACATTTAACAACCAGTACAGTTTCTTTATTCTGCAAGGAATTCTTCTACTTTCACCTTACCTGAGGAGTAAACACACTTGCTTTGTATAAAAAAAACCCTAAAACAGACTGGGAATTCAGAATTTATCTATCCTCAGACAAGGAAGCTTTCTACCCCTACTTGGTGGCAGGCCAGCAACAAGCTGGCCTGTGCCTCTTACATGGCTATTTGTATCAGATTGATCCAAATCCCTGTGGAACTACTGTCATAGTTTCACTTCTCATACCTTTCTTGGGGGAACTTGTGGACCTTTTTCACAGCTAGATCAAATTGATAACTAAGAGCCAACCAGTGTTCACCTAGAACACTCAAAACCTTCTCCAGTTTAACATTTCTAAATGCTTAGCTCCAAGTTTAGAGTGGAAGTTTCTGCTACTAAATCCCAAGTCCACTACCTTGCATTCCATAGTACTGAATTTCACCCCCTTTCTATTATACCCACCCTCAAGTTCTTTCAGTTCTCTCTTTATGATGTCCTGATCATCCTCTGTATTGATAATGCCACCTAACATTATGACATCAGCACCTATTTACTATTTACACTAATATCATTAAGAAACATATTAAACAAGATTCACCTGATTAATCCCGGAAAGTTCCACTAGTAATCTTTTACTTAAATTGCATTTAAAAACTTCTAAAAAGTGATTTCAAATTGAAATACAAATCACTTTTAAACCACCAACAAATGAATTGTTGAATGTGCAGGAAAACTACATCCTGGCATAGAGTAATGCAAATGAAATTATTTATCAGAGAGCAAAAGTGCACTCCAAAGAACAGGTAGCTTTAAGTATGACTTTGGAGAAACTATTTTCTTCTGATCATAAGAAAAGCCAGTGTTGACTTATAACTGACCAAAGTGCTGTCAATCAAGAAAAATGATAAATGGCACATGGAAGACAATAAGGTATAGAAGAATAATTATAAAACTATGGTTCCCAAGGTCCAGGGTTCTAATGTCAATCATAATTCTACTGCTAGTTATTTCCTATATATCAAATTATCTTCATTCAGGTTTACCACTTTGTAACATGATTATAATTGTGCTTATACATAATATAGAAGTATTGTAAACTTTATGTTTATACATTTGTCCAACTACATAAAACCCTATATAATAGTTAATTATTGTTGTTATAACTCATAGACTCATAGAAAAGTAGGGTTGGAAGGGACCTCAGAAAGACATCTAGTCCAAACACCTGCTCAGAGCAGGACTATCCCCAGCTACATTGTCCCAAAAAAGGTTTTGTCTACCTGGGTCTTAAAACCCTCCAAGGATGGAGATTCCACCACCTCTCTGGGTAGCTTGTTCCAGTATTTTACTGCCCTCCTAGTGACGAAGTTCTTCCTAATATTTACCCTAAACTTCCCTTGCTGCAACTTGAGACTGTTGCTCCATGTTCTGTCATCTGCCATCACTGAGAACAGTCTAGCTCCATCTGCTTTGGAGCCCCCTTCAAGTACTTGAAGGCTGCTATTAAAGCCCCACTTAGTCTTCTATTCTGCAGATTACATAAGCCCTGTTCCCTCAGCCTCTCCTTAGAAGTCATGTGCCCCACCCTCTAACGATTTTCATTGCCCTCTGCTGGGCTCTCTCCAATTTTTCCACATCCATTCTGTAGTGAGGCGCCCAACACTGAACACAGTACCTGAGATGTGGCTTCATCAGTGCAGAATAGAGGGTAATAATTACTTCCCTTGATGTGCTGGCAATGCTCCTATTAATGCAGCCCAGTATGCTGCTAGCCTTCTTCAAAACCAGGATATGCTGTTGGCTCATATTTAGCTTATTGTCCACTGTAACCCCCAGGTCCTTTTTCACAGAACTGCTGCTTAGCCAGTTGGTCCCCAGCCTATACCAGTGCATGGGATTGTTTCATGTTAAGTGCGGGACTTTGCACTTGTCCTTACTGAACCTCATGAAATTCTTTTGGTCCAATCCCCCAATTAGTCAAGGTCTCTCTGAGTCCTAGCCCTACTCTCCAGTGTATCCACTACTCCCCCCAGGTTGGTGTCATCTGCAAACTTGCTAAAGGTGTACTCTGTGCCATCTTCCAGGTCACTGATGAAGATACTGTACAAAACCAGCCCCAGGACCAACCCCTGGGACACTCCACTTGATGCCAGCTGCCAACTAGACATCGAGCCATTGACTACTACCCTCTGAGCCTAATGGTCCAGCCAGTTTTCTATCCTCCCTTACAATCGAGTCATCCAATCCAGACTTCCTTAGCTGGCCTGTCAGAATGTCATAGGAGACCAATCTGTAGTGCCCCAGATCCTCCTTCCCTTTCTTAAAGACAGTCACGGTATTTGCTCTTTTCCAAATGTCCAGGACCCCTCCTGATCACCATGAGTTTTCAAAGATGATGGCTAGCAGCTCTGCAATCACATTGGCCTACTCCCTCAGCACCCTTGGGTGCATCCCATCTGGCCCCATAAACTTGTACATGTCCAGCTTTTATAAATAGCCCCTAACCTGTTAGCCACATGGTCATAGAGCTGACAACCAAGGCTGATAATATTTTGGTAAAAAACAGTACCTCTGTATAATGTTTACTTTTTGCTTCTTCAGAAATTATTCACTCACTATTCATTCTAAAAACCTGATGAAAGATTAAAACTCAAATTCATGCCCCTAGGCATTTTTATTTTCTTTATCTTAACCACAAGGTGGTTTGTCACAAGGATGGCTCATGGTCCAGCATGAAGAGCAATGAGTCTTAAAAAAAAAAAAAGCATATTAACAGACTTTGTAAATAAAGGTATTTTTAAAAATTCTGACACTCCAAGATCTTTTACACAGAATTTTCATTGAAGTCAAAGAGGCATTCACAGAGAGGGTTTGCAGAATCAACTGTGCCCTTAATATCTGAGGCCTTGCCACTTTAATGGTACCTTTTGAAATAAAAGACAAAATCAAAGAGCAATGACTAAACAGCTAAATATCAAAGGACAAAGGTGAGACAAAAAATAGCATAAACAAGGGATGACACACTTTTTTTTAAGGAAACCCACTGACCGAAGAAAACTTAAGTTTCAAAAATACCTAAACATGTTAAGTGTGAAACAACTTACATGCAGATCTCTGGAGAGAGTTACATTGCTCATGTCAATTGCTCGGGGGCTGTAACCATGGGCAGTGTCCACAGAAACCTAAATGGTAAATGTAAAAATTAATGAAGCAATAAAAATACTTGGTATAAGGTTTTATGTCAACAAGGTATTGCAGGTAATGAAATAAGTAAAGGAACATCAATGTGAATACAATTAATGCAAAAGCACACATATACCAATGGGGAAGGAAAAGAAAGCAGTTGACAATTTAATTATTTTGTGTTATCTTGACTACCTGACTACAGTAATACTAAAGACAGTAAAAAAATACACCTCAATTGGATATAGGTTGAATAATGTAAATTTAAGTAATTACAATGTAAATTCAGCCAATTATTTTCAGGGAAAGGTCACAATCAAAAAAATATCTCCTTTAGTAAAGTGCAAATGTACTTGAACGTTGGTATCAGGTTTGAACTTAGTGTGAGAAATGCTGTACTAAATATTATAACTAAATCATGTTTACTGTAAAATGTTTACAGTAAAATGTTTACTGCGAGAGGTAGAGATGCATCAAAAATAAACCTCATATCTCTAAGGACAGGGAAAGTTCAGACAAAGATCTGAGTTACACGTTTGCCACCGAACCCTATTATCTCTATAGAGAAGAATGAAACCTATCACCTATGTTTCCCTTTTTAGATTATGTTATTTTCTGTGAATTTTTTTTCTCTCTAGTCTTATCACTAATTCTCATTACAGAAAGCAGACTTATGGCTGCCAGAGGTAGTTACAGGAGGAGATCTTCCATAAAGTGTAACCTCTTAGCTCCATGTTCTTGGGGAACCCTAGCACAGGATGCAGCCTCTCTGACTCACAAAGGACTCACCCCCCACACCTCTGCCTGAACAAGAACTGATTAGAGCAGGGACTTACAAAAGACAATGAAGATGCAGTGGGAGACGCACGTAAATCCCTCCAGACAAGGGTGATAGGAGTGAAGCAACTCCCCTGGTCTCATTTACATTGGAAATGGAAGGATGGGAATGCACTGTCATTAGCACTCAGGACAGAGAACACAGAGTCCAAGGTAATGACTGCACTGAATTCTGGGACCAGAGAAGCAGGGGAGCACTGCATGATGGGAGACCTTTACTCCAAATGCTAATCAACCCATGTCTGCACACACCCAGCTCAGCATTTAGCAGGCCAATTCTAGTAACGATTCCTCTATCGGTACCCAAAACACTGAATCTGCCTGTGTGTATTGTGAGCTCCCTCAGAGTAATGCCACCCATAGCCAGGAGTGATCAGTTCCTATTATCCAGCATATGAGCCATCGTTTATCCATAAACAAACCTAGTGCTCTCCCTTGAGCCATTGTTAGTTCTCTACAAAAACCCCTACCCAAGCTCAAGTTTCTGTCCTGGTGCTTAGATCCAAAAGTTGCACCCGTTCTACTCCTTTTCTGCCTGGAAGCCCTCCACTGGCCATGCTGAAGGCTCCGCCTGTCTGCAAGCTCCAACAAACACCTGGGAACCTCGACTGGTTCAAGCTTCACTGAGTGGTGAGACTCCAACTCTCTCTCTCTCTCTGACTTTTGCTTTCTTACTCCAGGCACAGCTTCTAAACCTGACTTTCGCTAATTAAATTTGAGCTAGGCTTCCCCAAATACCTAACTGAAACTATGTAATATTGTAACTGTTTATGTGTCTCTCTTGTATGTCTATTACTACTGGTAATCATACGTTCATATACCTATGAGGACCTAGTCAGGGAACTTCTGAAGGGACTTGATGCTTTTAAATCAGCTGGTCCTCATGATCTGCACCCCAGAGTGCTGAGGGAATTAGCTGAGGTTGGAACTGTAGGACCCCTGACACGGCTTTACGAGCACTTGTGGTGCTCTGGTGTGGTGGCA